TTCCTTCAAATCTTTAATTTAAAATCTTGGACTATTCCTGATAATGTTGTGGAAGTTGATAACAAAATTCCTCCCAGTGGAAACACTGAGCCACAGGGCACGCCGGCTCTATTTCACCATTCCCTTGATAGATCAGCTCCTCTCTTCGCCCCTCATCTGTGTGTCTACCAACACGCAGCTCTTGCTTTGCTGAGTGCCCTCCCAGCATCCCACACAGATCCCAGTGGAGAACTGGCATCCATCTTGCAAAACAGCTAAAAACCTTAAATCCCTAGTGAAGATTTCTCTGCCACTGATACAATGCTTGTTTACGCTTTTCCTACTATTAATTACTTACATGGTGGACCTGAAGGTACATGACTACAATCCTAGCACATGGGAGATAAAAAGAGGAGGATCAGGTATGCAGAATTCATGGCCAGGCTGGGCTACTTGAGACCCTGTCTCAAAAAAACCAAACACACATACACATATGTGCCTGAACCCTTAGTCTAGAGCATGGCCAAAACAAACATGGACCCTGATCTCACAGAGTCACAGCCCAGTGAGGAGGTGGCTGTGATCACGAAACACAGTAGAAATGAGAGCTATGTGCTCCTGAGAGAGTCCTGCAGGAGAAGGGTAACACTTCCCTGTGGAAATCAGTTTTGAAATTTTGTCAGAAGAAGAAGGGAGTAAAGAGAATGGAGGAGAGCTATAAGGGAGGGGGAAAGCTAGTGCAGAAGAGAGGGAGAAATCCAATTAAGTTCAAGGGCATCCAAGCAAAAAGAACAAGAGCATGGCTGGAGACCAAGAACCAAATGGAATGGGGATTATGCAGTTCAATCTTAACCTACTTAATGGAATGTTCCTTGCAACAAAATGGTTTTTTGCTATTTCCCAGAAAGGCACTGTGGTAAAGTGAAAAATGTACATATTCAGGTTGAATATGAGGTTCCTAAGAGTAATAATTTTTTCTTTAATGTGAAGCTGTAGATCAAACCAGAGGACTTATATATGCTAAGCATACATAACTCAAGTACATCCCCACTGCATCCCAGAGGAATCTTAACTAGTCAAGTGATAAAGAATATGAGCCGATTATGGTACAATCAACACACGCAAAGAACAAGCTCTATATGCCTAATACTTAATCCACACTTCACTAACATGAACCTAGCAACTTATTTGATTGGAACCTTTCTGCTCCAATAAAAATATATTACATACATGTAAATGGTTGAAGAAAATTCAAACTTTTATCTATCCTCAAGCTTTATTGGATAGATGACTTTTCCTACAAGTATGTCACATGCAATCCAGATGTAGAAAGCTGTTTAATAAAGATTGTAGCAAAGGTAGATCTAACTGATGGCACTCATCCTTCCAGAAGAGTACCATTCATCATTAGAATGCCAGTGTGGAATACTCCAACCAAATGCTGTCTGTCAACCAGACTGTTTCCCCACCCAGGTCTTTTAAGCACTGCAGGCCTAGTTCTCCTAGTTGAACTAAATTATGCAATTATGATTGTTGGTATATTTTTCATAATGACTGTCTGTTTGTGTCTTCTCTACCATATTTCTTTACCCATATTCCAATTGACCAAAAATTGGCATTATCTATTTCTTGTTTGGGTCATTCTGTAGGATAAAGTAACTCAAGAGTTCCAGAAGTCTGAGATAAGCATTAAAGTACACAACTTGTACATGGACTAGAGAGATCAGTGTGGTAGTTCCTCAGGGAGATGTATATCAATCTACTTCAAGATCCAGCTACACCACTCTTGGGCAAATACCCAGAGGACATTTCATCCTACTACTTGCTTAACCTTGTTCATTGCTGTTCTATTCATAATAGTCAGATATTGGAAATAACCTAGATGTCCCTCAAGAGATGAATAAAGAAAATGTGGTACATTTATACAATGGAATATTACTCAGACATTTAAAAATGAAATCATGACATTCACAGGTAAATGGATGGAACCAGAAAAAAAAAAGTCATCCTATGTGAGGTAACCCAGATCCATAAAGACAATTATGGTATGCATTTGCTTACATGTGAATGTTAGCTGTTAAGACATTGATAAGCAAGCTATAATCCATATAACCACAGAGGTTAAGTATAGAGTAAGGAAACAGGAGAGAGGGAAAAGTCACCCTGAGAAGGGGAAATATAATAGATAGTTATGGACGGACAGGATCTGTGAGAACAGTAATGGAAGGATCAAACAGGGAGGAAAGGAAGAGAGGGGCCAGGAAGGGAATACAGAAAGGGACAGCTAAAAGCCATTTGAGGGGTCATATGGAAGCCTAACCCAGTAGAAGCTTTCTAAAATATATACATATACAAAGGTGACCTAAATAAAACCACCAAATAAAAGGGAGACAGAGTCCCAACTGGACATCTCTTGTTACCAAATGAAACTTCCAGTACCAGTAATGGGTTACATCTAATGTAGTTGTTAGGAAAAGGAATACCATCAAACCCCCAAAACAGCCCAGGCTATTGCCAAGACTAGCAGTTGCTCTCCAGAAACTGACAGTAAGGTCCTATTGCTGAAGACAGCATCCAGTCAACTCCCTGAACACAGAGAAGTCAAGCTGGTGGTTACTTAGAACCGTCACCCCTATGTACTAGTGTTTGTGGTACTGGAAAGTACCCTGCCTGCTACCAAAAGGGAAATGTGAGCATCAACCCAGCCACAAACCCTTCAGTCTGCAATGGTGACCTGCCTGCAAGATACAATGGTACAAGAGTGACAGTTTGTGGAAGGAATCAACTATATCTGCTTTAAGGCCCGCTCCATGAGATGGAAGCCCTGCATGACACTGCTCAGATAGCTAAGAACATGAGTCTAGATAGGCCAGGAACCTAGGAGAAAACCAAATACTACTGTTCTGCTAAAGACATGTAGCAATAAAATGATTCCCAATTGTCAACTTTGCAGCCAACCAGTGTAGATCTTGTCTGCTGGACCTGGGATCTGAGATCTGGGGGTCTGAAAAAATAGGGAAGACTATAGTCTAATGTGGTACACTGTAAAGATTTGTCACTCAAATTGGCTTAATAAAATGCTGATTGGCCAGTAGCTAGGCAGAACGACCAAACGAAGAATGCTGGAAAGGAGAAGGGCAGAGTCAGGGAGTCGCCAGGCAAATGAAGAAAAAGCAAGATGAGTCTCAGTCTTGCCAGACTGAGAAAAGGTACCAAGCCACGGTGGCTAAACATAGATAAGAACTATGGGTTAATTTAAGTGTAAGAGTTAGGCAGTAATAAGCCTGAGCTAGTGGTTGAGCAGTTATAATTAATAGAAGCTTCTGTGTGGTAATTTGGGAATTAGCTGCTGAGTATTGGGAGTATTGAGTATTGGGAGTTGGTGGAACAGAAACTTCCACCTACAGACAACCTTACTTCAGTTTCAGTGAACTTTAATACACAAACGAAACAAAGAAAGCAATGATCTAAAGAAGGTTGCTTGAGTTCAGAAAAAAAATGTGTAAATAAATATCGGTAAGCACATACTAAATATACACAAAGCAGCCCTTTCCCAGAACTTTCTCAGGACAGACCAGTTTAAACACAATTTCCCAGCATGCTCTATGATTATATCTGAGAAAGCACAAAAGCAAGGCAGAAGGCCATATCCCAATTCAGGGTTCATTTGACCAGATTGGGTTCTGTAGCTATGATCTGACATCCAGCAAGAATAAACATGTCTTATAAATTGAATGTAAATGCTTGTCACAGAAGGCACAAAATCATGTCCAAGAACAATCTAGGGAACAAAATGCACCTGAGGTAGAAGGCTCTCTGTTTTTCTTCCCGGAGCCTCTCTCACAGTTCCCCAAGGCATTGTTCTCTATGCATCATTTTTTTACTATGTTCTGATACCTAATGACATTCTACTATTCTCATAGATAAATACCTTGCTCACTCATCCTCAGAGAAACTTCCTCCTGCAGCAGATGGGAACAAATACACAGACTCACAGTCAGACACCGTGCATAGATTGAGAGTCCTTGGAATACTCAAGGACTAAAAGAGATGTCTCCATCAAATCCCTCCCCTCAGAGCTCAGGAACACTTTGGAAGAGGAGGTGGGAAAAGTGAAAGAGCCAGAGGTAATGGAGGACACCAAGGAAACAAGGCCCTTTAAATACAGCAGGACTAACACATATATGAACTCACAGAGTCTGAGGCAGCATGCACAAGGCCTACATGGGTCTGCACCAGATGGGATCCTAGAGCTGAGAGGAGAAGTGGACACATGCTCCCATCCCTAACCCAAAAGTTATCTCCAATAGATAACCACTTGCAACTGAAAAATTAGTTTTCTTCAAAGGAGGTTCACTAGATGGCCAACACAAAATGAACTCAATGACATCACCTTTGGGGATGCTTTGTCTCATAATGCTGCATTGGAGAATTTTTTTTTAACCTTACAAGTCCTTTAAGTACATATAGTTTCTGGTTTTGTTTTTTAATGGGATTCCTGTGTGTCTCTGCATCTATATGTGGTTTTGTGCTTTTTCTTTGGCTCTTTTTCTTCTGTTTGTTTGTTTTGTACTATTCTGATTTGTTTGTTTTTGTTTTATCTTACTTTATTATTATTTTATTATTATTCCTCAGATACCTGCTAGTTTTCTAAGGAGAGACAGAAAGGGGATGGGAGGGTAATGAAGGAGAAACTGGGAGAAATTAGGGGAAGGGAAACCATAATCAGAATATGTTGTATGAAAAAATCTATTTTCAATAAAAGAAAATATTAAAAATAAAATTATTTCTTTTTTTGAGATTATAATATAATTATAATATTGTTTCCCTCCCCTTGCTCCCTCCCATATACCCCTCCTTGCTCTTTCAAATTTGTGCTCTTTTTTTCATTGTTGTTACATACATACATATAAACATAAGTACATTCTATTCAGTCTGTGTCTTAGTTGCCTTTCTATTGCTGACAAAACACTATGTATGACCAAAGCAGTTTATAAAAGGAAGCATTTAATTAGGCTTACAGTTTCAGAGGGTTGGAGTCCATCATGGAGGAACAAAGGCATTGTAGCAGGAACAGCTGAGAGCTGACATCTCCAACCACAAACAGGAGGCAGAGAGCACTAAGTGGGAATGGTGTTGGCTTTTGAAACCTCAAAGAAGAATGAAAAAGTTCTAAAAAGAAGGAAATAAACATTAATCCTTCACTTTGAAAAATAAAAATACACACATTTCTAGTAACTGTCCCTGAAGGTAAGAAAGAGGGATAGGGGATGCTTCTGAAGTGGGAACAACACTCATTTCTTGACTTAAGTGATAAGTTTATGTATATTTTTATAATGAGTTATTGAGCTGTATAATTTTTTTTGTTTTTTGCACATTTTATTTTACACAAAAAAGTCGCATATATGAAAAAAAAAGGCCAAGCCAAATTCCCAAATATTTTTTCAATCCTCTACTCATGTCACAGTCTGTCAGCATCCCATTGGCCAAAGCAAGTCACATGATATAGCCAGAAGGCAACGGTTAGCAAGCACACCTCACCTTGGCTAAGTCAGGGGGCAGCAATTGTTTTTTGTAGAAAGCCAGTCAAAAACCCCATATAGTTCTTCTGCATATTATTCTGTATAAGTTTTTAAGACTTTTTTAAAAAATGCAATCATTATTAGCTGAATGTTCTACTCCATATACCTCACGCCAAAGCTGCAATTGGATGTAGTCCACAGGCTATAGTTTGTCAGCCATTTGATGAAGCCATGAAGGGAAGTTTCTTTTAAATAGGAAAACCAATTTAATCTCCACAACTCATCCTCTTTATAATAATTCATATCATTACCACTGTGATCTGGATGTGTCTTCCAAACTCAGGTATTGTAAACTTAATCACCTAAACAATGGCATTGTCAAGTGAAGCTAAACAGACATTGTTGATGAGGATTTTGCCCATCTGAATATATTAGCACTATTGTGTAAAGGCCTCTTTTTCACCCTCCAACCTTCTGCACCTCTCCCACGTGAGGGGGCTGGAACATCAAGACAGCTCTCACCAGGTGCCAGAAGGTAACACCATTCATAGTCTTGGTCTCCCAGGTCCCACAACTGTGCACAGTAAAATCCAGCTCTTTACAAATTACTAGTGTATGATATTTTGTTATGAGCACACACACCACACTTACTATTAGCAAAACACATTCTTCCTCACCCAAAGGCACTCAAAAGTTCACCCAAACAAATCAGACCGAAGTTCTGTCCTACCTTACTTCCACCCTCGGTCTGCAGATCTAGAAAGTAAAACGGCCTGCTCCTGGTGCTCTTAAAGGACACCAGAGAACTGCAATAAACACTCCAATCCAGAATCAGAGAAAATGGCGGACACCTCGGTGGCCCCTAGACAGTTAGAAATTATACAGGGCAAAAGTGAGTAGTCTCGTCCTGCTCCATGAGAGGGGGCCAGTGCCCTCCTGAGTAACTAACCATGTTTTGCTGCTTTTCCTGCTGCTTTTTTTTTTTTTCATCGTTAGGAGAGAACTTTATTTAAAAGTGTCATCTTAAACTGCAAGGATGTCCGTTAAACGTCACAATCAAACATGCCAAAGGAGAAGCCATGTTGTCACAATGCCCACTTAACCCCCCCAGACACCTCAAGCCACCCTTGCTGACCTTCTATACCCCCCTTTTTTTCTTTTTTCTTTTTATTAAACAAGAGAAAGTAGACAGATACATGTTGGTAAATGCTAACTGTCTGTATTCACATAGAGACACAGTGTAATCTCTGAGCCCAATACAGAGAAAGGAACAAAGCTAGAAGTCCATGCACTACTACACAGGGGCCTGGCACCCCCAGCCTCCAGCAGAGCCAAGGGGGCCGAAGGGTTTTTCTTCTTTCCCACAGAGCATAGTGGTGGTGTTGAATCCACGGTTTGAGACAACAAAGGATAAAAAGGAATTTAGAACAGAATAGTGGAGATTCTTTTCCTGTTGTATTTTGTTCAAGGTATTTCCCCCAAAATAGGTTGAGAACCATGGTGTTGAGAAGAGAGACCTCAAAAACAGGGCTACTGAGCACAAGAGGGGTTGGGGAGGATCGAAATGACTGCAACTTGCTCCCATGGACAGAGAAAATTAAAAAAGAAAAAGAAAATAAAAAGAGGGTTGGAATCCATCAGTCTTCCTGTGCTAGTCATCCTGGCCTTCATCCTCCTCTCCTTCTTCCCCTTCATCATCATCTTCATCTTCTTCACCTTCATCTTCATCCCCTTCCTCATCAATATCATCCAAGCCTTCCTCTTCTTCATCATCATCATCTTCTGCCTCTCCTTCTTCATCATCCATATCAGGAACCAAATAGTACTGCAAGGGCTTTGACCAAACGCTGTCTCTGAAGACCTCTCCTAACTCATCTACACCTGCAGCAGAACAGTCAGTGAACCAGGTGAAGAAGCTCTCCGGCTCTTCATGCTGCCTCTTCCTGCTGGCCTTATTCTGCGTTTGGCTTGAGCGTTTTGTCATATCCTTTCCAGACTTCCATTTGATTTCAGTCAGTGGACTTTGAAGATGGGTCGCCACTCTCATTCAGATGAAATTCTTTGGAGAGAACTTTATTTTCAAAGTAAGGATTTTCATCAAAATAAAAATCTATTCTGTAACCCGATTTAATGTCTTCAAATTCTGTCACTTCAACTCAGAGTAATGCAGAGCTTCTTCATCTTCCTCCCCTAGCAGTGCAGACACTTGTGGATGGTTGACAAATGTGGTTACCCAAAAATTTGGGATGTGGGCGATCAATTCTGACCTCTTGCGGAAAAAATGGTTGGCGGAATTTGTTATATTTTTGTTCTGCTTTCAAAATTTCCTCACTGGCTTGTTCATCAAGTCTGTCTATTTCATTTTGTACTTCGTCAATGTGTTCAATTGCTTCTTGCTGTTCTTTTTCTCCCTTCGGCAGGCCGGGAGAGGCCAACTTGTCCTCCAGCTTCAGGGCAGGAGCCGATTTGGGTTTCTTGGACTGAGGCAGAAGCGCAGATTGCCTTTTCGGGGCCATGGCACAAGGGAAGAGGCCGGGAGCCAGAGGCCAGTGCCTGATGCTCATAGCAGGAAGGAACTTGCAGGAACTCTCCTGTTGCTTATTGTCTCCTACTATCCCATTAGTCAAATCAAGTCATGTGGCCAAGTCCTAAATCAAAAACCGGAGAAGTATTTTTGCTGTAAACCCAACATGAGGCCACAGCAATCAGTTAGTCTTATGACAGAACCAAAGCCTCAGAGCCAGCCATTCGATCTGCCAGAAGAACCTTATTTTCTGGGATAGTATACAGAAAATCAGATTTGACCTCTACTAAATCCACATGAAGGCTGTTCATAAAGGAACCACCTGGGACCCAAATTTGGGTCGGTGGAATATAAACACAAAGAATTTCATTTAAAGTAGTGACTATTAAATTTTGACAAATATTTAAAGTCACTAAATAAGAAACTTCAAGTGGTTGTTAATAGTTAATTTTTTTTGAGGAAGAAAAAGGGAGAAGTGCTTGATGATAAGAAATTATATACATACACAGAAACTAATTTATGCAAAAATGGATTTGAGTTGATGCGAGGCTCATTATGAGGTGACATTGTAATGAGCCTTCCAAAAACCCTAATGGAGTCAGGGTGAATTTTAAAAAACAGAACATCTCACTCTGAAAATATTGTCACTATTATTCTAACTATTCGAGTTGCATGCTGTAAAGCATATTCTATTCTGAGAACAACATTTTAAAATGAGGTTGATAAAATTAAATACATGTATAGAAAGACAACCCAGAGAATGAAGGGTCTTGGGTTAATACTACGTAATACACATTTAAAGAAATTTGGAAGCTCATCTTAGAATAGGGAAGGATAAGCTAGGGAGATGGAGCTGTTAGCAAAGTATTTGCCATGTAAGCAGAAGGTTCTGGGACTAGATTCCCAGAACCCTTTAAAAAAGCCAGGTATGGGAGTGACATCTGTAATCCCAATGTTGGAGAGACAGAAGAAGGATCCCTGAGGCTTGCTGACCAACGAGGCTTGCAGAATCTATGACCTCCAGATTGAGTGAGAGAGCCCATCTCAAAAAAGAAGATGGAAAGCAGTGGAGGAAGGCACCCCATGTCAACCTCTGGCTTTTACTTACAAGAAAACACGTACACAGGCTTCTGTGCACATACACACTCATGTATACACCAGACACATACAAACCCAAACATACACACTTACACCCATGCACGCTCAAGGGGCAGAGAGTCATGAAAGAGGAAGGAAAGAAAAAATATCTTGCAATGATTGCACACTGTCACGTAAAAAGAAAATAGATCTACTAGTTGTTGCTATAGACCAGGGCCTAGACAGCTTCTTCAGCAATAGGCCAGGTAGAAAACAATTACTTTAGGCCTTGCAGGGTGTTTGAGTTCTTTCACAAACTCGAGTTTTACTATTGTGACAGGAAAATGGGCATATGCAATGCATTAATGACCATGAATATTCCCAATAAAAAGACCTTATAAATTCTGAAATTGAAATCTTATGTATAATTTCCACATGTCAGGGCTATTGGTGCTCTTTTAAACATCTAAATTGTTTAAAGATGTTCTTAGCTGACAAACTGGCCAGATTTGGCCCACACACTAAGAAGACATGCCTCTACCATAGATGACAACCTAAGGGATTAGGTCCTAGCTACAAGAAAGCAAATATCAACTCAAATAGTAATAAAACAGTAATAGTTAGACACAAGAGGGGATGCCTTGCCAGTGTGTTGGAGACCTGATCACATCTCCTGGGTGACACTGAGGCCAGTGAACAGCTCCTCTGCAAAATGTAGCCAGTTCAAAATATTGCTCTACTGCCACTCACTGGGAAGCCTTCCCCAGACTCACAGGAGCCAGCACCATGCAGCTGCACTGTCCCCTAGAAGTGCTAGGGGCTAATTGACTGAGTAATCAATGAGGAATAAACACCTCAGTGTCTCCTCTTAGGACAGTTGTAAAGTAGGGCCTCTGCTGTTCAACAGGGAGTCCCCTGCTCCAATTGCCTATATCATGCTTACTCTAGTACATACCTCTCATGAAGTAAAATACGCTGCTCTCCTCCTCTCCCTTCATGTCTCCACTTGCCCGCTTGCACTTCAAAAAATCACTTCCTAAATATATATCATCCCTGAAGCCATCATGTTAGATTTTGGTTTCTATAAACTCAAATCTTTAGTGTGTTGGTTGTGGTTAATAAACACATCCTTAAAGACTAGGCTATCGCCTACTGTCAAAATTATAGTTGAGATTTTTAAGTTTCACCATTAGTTCTCAACTGGAAACATCTTTGATTGTCATGTCTTTCCTACCACACCCAAATACCTAGGGAGAGGAAGGAAGGATGCTGCTGCTGCTGCTAAATGCACAGTACACGGACAGTCTCCCACAAGGAATTAACCCACCCAACTATCCGTAGCACTGAGTTTAAATCCAAGGTTGAGCTCAGGGCCTCTACTGCCATGTTCTTCTCTAAGACTGTCATTGTAGCACACTCAGTGTTTTAGCCAAAATGAGCTTCTATAGATTCATAACATCCCAGGAATTAGGAAGTTTTGCCAGATTCTGTTTTGCATTGTGGTGATATGTCCCCAACTTTCATAAATTCGATGAAGGAATTTGCGATATGGAATGAATGAAACTGGATGGTGATTTTTAATCATTTTAACTCGGATTCAAATCTTTAATCGCCTTTTCTCCTCCTCCCTGGTAATAAGAAATGCATAAGAGAATCACGTCTGGCAGCAGTTCTTAGCATGTGCCATCCTGGTAGGTAGAAGAAGCAGGCAAAGAAGAGACTTAATTTAGTTAATTAGGCTACATTTAGAAGATGCAAACTTCCTGGCAATCAATCTGGCACTTTTCTCAAGTATTAATAAAACTGTTTCTTAATTCTTGATTAATATAGCTCAGCAAATACCACCACACATTGAAGGTAGAACTGAGCAAATGAAAAGTGTATAGAGAGAGCAGCTCTTTAGTTCTCGCTCTCTCTCTCTCTCTCTCTCTCTCTCTCTCTCTCTCTCTCTCTCTCTCTCTCTTTCTGCGCCTACATCTTTTTGAACACAAAGCCACTGCCAACAAACTGCCTAAGATAAAGAATTGGTGTAGACCTTTCCTTCTGTACTTTTTTTAAACCAGGGCCATATAAATCAAACAAGATTGCTTTATCTGCAGCTAAGAATTCCATAGAGATGTGTTGAACCTATAAGAGATGGCAGAACCTGGCCAACTTCTGTCTTTTAGGTAATAAATTGTACCTCCATTCTGACTTTTCCTTCAGAGTTTTGTCTATTTTTATTTTAGGGCAAAATATGTGGATTTGTCTGCAATATTAGAGGGATCCCAAGTTTTCCTCCCTAGATGAAGGAGGTTTGTTCATGGATTTGGGCGTTTTGAGAATGGGAAAAAAAATGAGAAAAGTAATAGTAAGTAAACACGAATAGTATGAAACTCAAGATAAAATCAGACAGGAAACCATTTAGATAAAATGGCATTCAACTTTTTAATAATAATTGCCACTTATGAGTACTTAATTTCAGGGATGAAAAATTTAGAGGGATAAATTTCAGATAAATTGAGATAGATTTTTGGCAAAAACACAAATAGATAGAAGATAGATGATAGATAATTAGGTAGATAGATGATAGATGATAGATAGGTGGATGAATAGATAGATAGATAGATAGATAGATAGATAGATAGATAGATAGATAGATAGATAGATAATAGACAGAAGATTATCCAAGCTAGAAACATTCTTCCTGGCTTCAAAACTTCTCCTTTTCATCATAAAAAAAATTTACAATGGAAACACTCATGTCACCAAAGAAAATTTAGGAAAGGAGCCAAAATAGATAACTTGATTTGAAAGTTTTGGCCTTGGGATGTCATGGCTATCACAGGTCTCCATACTTTGCAAATGTGCTCATCACCACAAAGGGCCAGCACTCTGTGGAAGCCTCAAGAAACATTGTGATTCTAAGGATCTGTTTCTAAGGAATAAGACAGCACTGAGAACCATCCCAGAAGACAGATGGTGCCATCATCATCTGGTTTTGAAATGAGCTATAAAATCCTTGTACAATAGGAGAATAATTCAGAGAAATGGGTCAAGGGTGGGAGTGAGACTTTGAAGGCTTGGAGCCTTGCAGAGTGAGGACCATAATGGAATGTCAGTCCATATCCTGCAGGGGATGTTTCCTGTGGAGACAGGAGAGCATGGTAGAAAAGAAAATGTTTTTGTACCTATGTGAATAAGAACATCTTCAGTTTTCATCTCAAGTGACTGATCTGCCTAATTTAGAATAAAATGCATCAAGCGTGTAACAGGAATAACCCTTGTTCCAGTGCTAGCTAGATGTAGAACAGAGGATGCCAGTATGCTTTCTCCAGATCTCAGTCCTGCTTGCCTGGAATGCTCTTATATCAGAAAGGAAGCTGCCAAAAGCTGCCAGCTCTCAAGGTCATAAAAGATTATTGTTCCCCAAGAGAAAGCTCAGATCCTCATTGTTCTGAGACCAGTTGGGGTCTGGCCTGGCTTGGGTTCTGTAACCATCCCTAAACTGATCTCTGTCATCTGATGGAGTAGGCTGGCTCTGACTCTATTGCATGGCCTCCCCAGTCCTGTCTCAGAAAGAAATCGTATTGAAATTGAGCCACGTGGAGAAAACATAGGTGGAAAGGATGGTTCCCTTAGGAAGGAATGCTGGGCAGAAATATATATACATATATAATAAAATATAAAATAGAGCTAGTGTGTCACAGGCAGCAGCAAGATTTGTTTGCAAGAACAGCCCCCTCGGGGTCAGGAGTGGGAAACACCCAAAGCAGTCAACATTTGTTGGGTATCAACTACGATATCTCACTGTTCCTAAGAATCATTTCACATGTTAACAACTCAGTTATCAGAATGTTTCCTACCATGAATGACATTCCACAATTGCTGCCAGTCAGGAGGCAGCTTTGATGCTGTCTTCAAAGTCTGCACAGAACTCAGTCAGAGTTCTTCCAATTGTCATCTCTTCAATTGAGTTATGTGTGTAGTTAACACTATACCTGTAGAATTTGATTATTGCTTAAAATATAGATGATACTCATGGCTGGAGGAATAATTGTAATTCTTATATTTTTGGATGAGTAACATTGATTGCTTTTCGATAGCTAAGAATGAATGATATCTGCATGTAAATGAAGTCATATTAGATTTTTTACTGATGCATGAGAAAAATATTCCTTCTCACATGCTAAGCAATGTCCCTAAAAATAACACTAAATGATGAATACCTGTCTACATAGTTCAAAATACCTCTGTCAGTAAATATCAAAGGTAGAGCTGAGTGGTAGAAAAATAATAAGCTCAGAATTCATGGGGCTAGAGGTTTAATCCCCATCGCTGGATAATAGGCACAAGAGTCAAATAAAAATATATATATTAAAATAACAATATGTTTATGAAATATTGTTACATCTTACCTTTACATTTACATATTACACTATAAAGATCATTTAGATAAGTGGTATCCTACATAAGTACTAAACAATATAATAATTCATCTTAAAATCGATAATTTGATTAATTAAGCTATATAACAGCCACTATGGTCAGTAGCAAAAATCCGGAAAAGAATGAACAGTCCTTACACTTGAGGTGCAAACCGTCCAATGAGACTACCTCACCTGCCACATCCATTTTTACTCTGGCCCAATCTCCACTCCAGAAATATTGTCGGGAGAAGATTCATGAAAATATTTCCAGGTTATTACATTAATAAAGTATTTAACACCCATGTATTAACACCACCTCAAATACATAAGCCAAAATCTAAAACTTTCTGTCTGTCTCCCATACCCAACATGGAATTCATCAAAACAGGCATTTGATCTTCAGGTTCAAAACGTATCTACCAGTGTTGGCAAGATGCTCAGAGGGTAAAGGCACTTGCAACAAAGCCTGATGACCTGAGTTCAAAGCCTGATGACCCATGTGGCAAAAAGAGAAAATAGAAACTCTCAACTTATCCTCTGACCTCCATGCATGCACTGTGACATACACACACAAATTAATGATGATGATAATATTAATAATAATAATAAATGTAAAAAAACAAAATAATAATAAATACAAAAACAAAAGTTGAAAAGATCCACCAGCTCTGACCTCCTCCATCCAGCCTACCACCATCTCTCAATGTAGGACTATAGACCCCCTTGGTGAGTCTTCCTGCCTCTGTCCCCATTCATCCCCCACCCACAGTCTATCTGCAACATGAGGCCAAAGTGGCCCCTTGTGAGCATAATTAGGTGACAACTAACTTTAACATGGCTCCCACTTCTCACAGAGAGCAGCCACAACCCCTGCAGAGGTCTTCAGGGTCCCTAGACGCACCTGTGTTCCAAGCCTTAGCAGCACCACTCTCACCCTGGCTTCCCCAGGGCTCTTTAACCGCATAAGGCCCCGCCCTCCAGGCTGTGCTTCTCTTCTTCCTCCTGCTGCATCCTCTGTGAGGCGACTCATTGGCCAGTCTCTTGCCTCCCTCCAGTCTTGGCTCTAAGCTAACCTTGCCAATGAGCCTCCCCTTATCACACCAGTCACTGCTGTGGCTGCGCCTTTGCCTTTCCTTCCCTCTTCCTCTGGTCTAGAAGTTCTTTCTACTCCAGTCCCTGTCTTGGTCTCTCATGAGGCGTTACGTGCCTCTTCTATTTATTGTTTGTTGGCTGACTCCACACTTTCCTCCCTCCTATGAATCTAGGCTTTTTCTTTAAATCTACTTCTACATTCCAGCACCTATAATAGAGATGGGTATACAGGGGTTACATAAACATTTGCTGAATGCGGAAGCTTATAGTTTTTACTAGCATGTATGCCAATATGGATCCACATTTATAGCATCAGTTAGGATAGATGGGGGAAAATAATGAAATAAATTGAAGTAAAATAACAATTACATACTGTAAGAATGCTCAGAGGAACTTTTCCTGTAGAAGCTGTAGACTAAGACCTCGGGAAAAAATTGAAGGAAATGTAAGTAGTGAAAACAGAATGGGATTCCCCACTTGGGTGTTAAGTAGGTCCTCTGGGACAGCCAATTCAAACTCGAGCACGAATGTCCAAAGACTACACTAATTGACTGGATTAAACAGTTCCAACATGCCCTTCTAAAAGTGAGCATCTCAGGGATGCCTTTCATTCTCTATCCTCTTCCTACCCCAAACACAGATTATAATGAAGGTCCCTACAGAATTCTCATGTCTACCACAGAACCTAGAGATGTGTGCCCAAAGCTAGAGTATCTAAGTTATGTCAAAGCCTCTAGTTTTCATATGAACACACAGCTAGTCCAAGCAAGCCAGCCAAATTACATACATGTACAATACTTTTTCTTCCTTATTCTCCTGTGCTCTGTATGCTGCCAGTGGGGTGGGGGAGGGATAGAAGGAGAGAGAGACTTGGAGAACCATTACATTTCTTTTTACTTTCAATTTGATCTTTATCTGTCTTAATGATAAAACTTTTGTAAAGAAATATAAGTTTTGAAGTAATATTCAAAAATCCAATATGAAAGCACATGTCATTGAAAAACAGATACCTGCAAGATCAAACCACTTCACTTTCCAGAATCTCAAATTCTCTCTCTGACCCAGTCACCTTACCTCCCACCTTTCTCTATTCTAGCTTAAATTAGGCCGGCTCACTGTAAGATAAAAGATCACACCCTCCTCCACAGACATGCCCACCTGCAGAAATTACACCCAACTTTCAACACCTACCTCTCATTCCAAATCCCTGAGGATGCTTCGACACTTGGCTTATCCCTTGCTTCCAGCATCCCCTTGCCCTTGTTTCTGTTCAACAGCTTTGTGTGTGAACTTGATATAACCTTCACAGCCTCATTTTCCTCATCAAGGCATCCCTGAAGTTGGCTGTAAGATAGCACACGTGGAAATGCATAAGAAAGATAGTTCCAGAAAGGTAAAAGCTTTATCAGTATTTCATAATGACTTCAATTAGATTATACTGATCCTTATACATCAAGAAACTAGTAAGGTTCCTTTTTAATTAAAAATATGTTTATATTATCATAATCATTTTTACTCTATCATACTGGCTCTTAGGGGAAAGGTCACCTCTTTTTAAAACACAGATTTATTCAACTGACATTGTCCCTTCAAAAGATTTAAATAAATGAGTAGACAGTTTCTCTGTATGTTTGCTGTCTTAGAAGGAAGGTGGGAAGAGGAATGTGGGGGCACCGTCAACAGCTAACTGCAGCAGTGTGAGGAATGAGTGTTCCCCAATAGACAGGCAAGAGAACACTTAGGAGTGGAAGAATCAAATTAGCAGACAGAACTACACTTTATTGCCCAATCAAGGTGAATTAAGAAAGTCAAAGAGACACCATTGACATTTATACCATGCAGCAGGTATTAACCAGAACTGTCAGGGGAAAACGAGAACCTATCCCAATTACATATATATATATATACATATATATGTGTGTGTATATACATATAGAAATACATATACATATATATGTATACACACACATATATATATGTATATATATATATATGTCTTTTTTTTAAGTCAGCAAATTGAAGCCTTAGGGCATAGCAGGAGAAAAGCCATTGCACAGTAGTTCTAAAAGCAATGCCAGGTAGCTTAGAATAAATTCCCTGACAAAGCTGCCTATTGAAAGAGCCATTCAGCATTCTACCCTCTCTGAAAGGCTCAGCAGAAAAAGGAGAAAGTGCTGAAAATGTTCTAGTAAAAACCCAGTCACCATGAAACCAAAGAACCAGAAGCTGTGAGATGTCCCTTCCATCAACATCCACCTCCATTTCTGTCATCAAGCATCAGGATCCACAAATAACCTGAGACATCCAAGGGACCTGTTGCCCAGCAACCTTTGTATGCATCCTGCAGAGGTAACAATCAAGGAAGAAAGGAGTGAGTTTCCATTCCTAGCAAATGAAGAAAAGACTCATGAAGCTATAGAAAGTTGACTAGAAAGGACCCAGAAACAATCCAATCCAGGTTCTAATTTCATATGATGTAACACAGTATAACATGTTAAATAGAATATTGTATATTAATTCACGAGAAAAGTTGTTTAAATCTACTTTCTTCACTCAATAACCATGTGTTGAGTACTCCTGATGCCTCAGACATTAGAGTAAGAGAGACCTGGAAAATAAAGTATAAGTATAGTCCTGTGCATGTGTATCCATGTATTTGTAGTTTAAATGTGCTACCATTATGAATTGGATCTGAAATGCTCCCCACAGGCTCATGTGTTTAACCATCTCAACACCAATGGATGGCACTATTTGGTGGAAGTAATATGTCTGGCTGGTGGTGGTGAGTTACCAAAAGCAAGTCTTTAAGGGTCATATCTGAACCCTACTTAGGGTTGTATGGATTGAGTGAAGTCCTGAGTGAGTGTGTATTGTTGACATGAACACAGCCATGTCAAGGACCCCAAAGCCTCTGCCCCACAATAATAGCAAAGCCTCAGAGGGATGTCAAAGCCTTCCTTGGGTCTGAGTGCAAATGTTGACAGTTTGTACAAAAAAAAAAAAGTTCACTGTAGCTTTCTTCCCCAATGTTTACTTCCTGAAGACTGTACCCCTACAGAGACCACTTCTATTGAGGTTAGCTAACCCTGCCTCCTTATTCATTGGTATATAATGCCCCGCCTCTTGGTTTGTCAGTGTATAATAACCCCAACTCCTTGTTCAGCTATATGTAATAAACCTGCCTCCCTAAAAACTGCATATAATAAACACGCTGAGCATCTGGGATGCTGTGACTTCTTCTGAGAGCCCAGACCATCCCATCCCAGATTTTCTGTGTCTGTGTATCTGTTGTTTCTTCATTCCCTCGTGACCCCTCGTCAGGGTGCTGGGACCTGAGCCATGCAGCACACAGCTTGCAGTTCCATTCTCACACTGCCTCTACATCCACCAAGATGTGAGGAGCTGCCACCCGCTGTCACAGACTTGGCCCTCGTCAGCCGCCATGCCTTCCTGCCATGATGGACTGCATCCATGTAAACCTCTCTTCCTTGAAGTTACTTCTGAAAGGTATTTGCTCCCAGCAATGTAAAAGTCGTTAGTAGTAGTACTGTCTGATGAGGTCATGTTAAGCACCAGTTGTGAACTGCAGCCAAACAGCAAGAAAAAAAGGAAGGATTTTGAGTAGTGGAATATCAATGAGTGTTGCCACTATGTGGTGGCTTTTCTTGTTGCAAAATAATGATGATGATGATGATGATGATGATGATGATGATAATAATAATAATAAATGGCTGCTAGTAAACTCTCCACCTCATCTTAGTTCAGTGGTCAAGGAGTGGTAGCATAGTATCTTCTGTTCTCACTCTTTAAGCATTCCTTCTTATCCCACACTTACATATCACTATATTATTCACAATAACAGAAATACAACAAATCCTCACTGTTCTCTATAAACACTATAAATAATGAAGTTCAAAAGTATTACATTTCTAGATTACCTAGAATCCTTAATACAAATTTAACTTAATTATACTCAGTTCTTTCTCTTCTTTCTCTCTGTGAACAACTAAGCCTCTAAAACCACAATAATGAACAGTTACCATTTATTATGTAGAGAGATAATCATTAAATGAAATTGCTCTAATAAGATCTTTCTAATCCATCCGTGCTCTATAGAATTCATTATATAGGGAGAACCAGAGAATGCAGGCAGCAACTAGAAGCTGGGAGTGGGGGTGGTGTAGAATAACCCTTAGGGCATCTCGAAAGTACTAAAACCTACTGACACCCTGACTTCAGCCACCAAGTCCTGAGCGTGTCTCAGACGTCTAACCCACAGAACCATAGCCATACTCAGCTGTTACTTGTCAACAAGCTATGTAATCTGTTGCAACAGGAACAGAAAACAATTCTGTGACCCATTTGCCCAGAGTTCTGTCAGTTTGGGGAGGCAATGGGACTTACATGGGATACAGTCCTATGGGTGCCATTTCCTGACATTGGAATATTTTATTATCTGTAACACAGGCTGAAATAAAAATTCTGAACCCTGAAACTTTCTGGACACTGACATGATGTCACAAGTAAAAGAGTTCTTACATGACCTTATGTGTTGGCTTACCATCAAAATACTAGTTCACTAAAAATAGGGTGTGAAATCACCATAGGCTCAGTGGAAAGACTATGTACAAAACAATGAATTTCACATTTAGACTTGATATCTCGGTATGTGTATGTAGATATCCCAGATCATAAAGAATATTTCAAATAATTCTGGCCCCATGTATTTCAGATTAGTGACAGCCATCCTGTCTTTAAAACCATGACTATTACATTTTAAACTCTATTCTTGTAGTCTAGAGACTGAAGTTTATGTGAAGCAATGTGTGGCATTTACAACACCACATCTTGCTCACTTTCCACACAGAGTACCTAGTTAGATTTCAAAGCTGAAACATTATTATATAAGAGGTCTTTATAGAAATAGCAAGGTGCATGTCAAAATTCTATTTCTGACCTTTTCTGCTCCTACATTGTTGGGGCAGCAATATTTCTAGCTAAAGAAAAATCTGAATTCCTATGCTGCTTTTATAGATGAAGATTCTATGTTTGGTCCTGTATAGAAAGAAAATCAATTATATATACATATATATAACTCATGTATAGTATAGATTATATGTGAAGGGATTTTCTAGTTCCACTGAATCACATGATTAGAGGCTACATAGTCCTATAAGGCCTGTCTTCAGAAAGCTGAGAAAGCCAGTTCCGACTCCATCCAAAAAAAGAAAGGCTCAGAAAAGAAGGAACCAAGGAGCCAGATAAGTATGGCACTGAAGACCTCGAAGCTCCCTGGAGAAGGCTGGGAGCAAATCTGCATTCAAAAGCTGTGAAATTTGGAGTCTGGTGTCTCCAGACCATGGAAGAAACAACAAACATACCTGCTTGGGATGACTCTAGCTTGGTCCCTCTGGAGACCGGTAAATGTCCTCCTCTCGTGCCCTTTGTTTCCTGCAGGTCTGCATTCTACAGAATGCAGTGGCTCTCAGTCAGAGGAGGTCTTTCCCTGGCTTGCAGGTGCACATGTCAATCATCTCTGGGAACACAGGCACACCCATAAATGTGCTTTACTGAGATTTTTTAAATTATTTTTATTATCTTAAGTGTGTATTTATGTGAGTATGGGCATGAGTATATAGTGCCCTTGGAAGCCAGTGGCATTGGTTCTGCCTGGAGCTGGAGTTACATAGAGTTGTGAGCTGCCCCATGTGGATTCTGGGAACTACACTCAGGTTCTCTAGGAGAGCAAGAAGTATTCTTAATTGCTGAATCATCTCTCCAGCTCCTGACTTACTAGTATTTTAAGTGTCTCTCAATCCAGATAATTTGACAACCAGGATGAACAGCGCAGTCTTGGGCTGGATGACACCATGGCCCCAGGGTGGCATCACAAGTTACTCAGATTGGTGTGGCCATGGTGGTGGCATGACCCTTGGGCACCAATGTGCCCCAGGCTTGTATATCACGTTGGCCCCATGTGGCAGCACAGGACACTCCAATCAGTAAATCTCCAGTGGTAATGTGACACTTAGACACCAACACGGCCCCAGGTGGCAGCCCAGACCCCTGGCATCGGCATCACCTTCGATGGTATCATGCGCCACAGACATCAGCACAACCTTGGCTGGAGTAGGACGATGACCAGAGCTGCTGCTGAGGGCCATGTCTGGGTCCATGGCCATGTTGGTGCCTGAGGGCCACTCTGCTGTGGGGGCTATGGCAATCTGGGTGGCCTACACTACCACCTGGGGCCATGGTGACTACCTGGGACCATGTCTTGATCCGTGGTCTACTATAGTCATAATGTCTGTGATGTCTATGGTCCATGGTGCCACCAAAGGCCACATGGATGCCTGGGGTCTAAGCTGCATCCTTGGTGTCCAAGGGCCATGATGTCGTCTGAGCCAGGGCTGCTGTCAAAGGCCATGTCTGGGTCCATGGCCCTACTCCAACCAGGGTCTGTGTTACTGTCCATAGCTTCTTATATCATTGAAGGCCATGCCCATGCCATGGGCCACCACCTGTTGGTATCCAAGGGTCTCACTACCATGGGGTCCATGCCAATATAAATGGCCCATACAGGTACATGCGGCTGGCCCAGGCTGTTGCCATGGGCCATATCTGGGTTTGTGGCCCAGGCAGAGTCTGGGCTGATATCCATGGCCCACATTACCACAGGGGGTCATAGAAACCATGTGTGTTGAAGTCTGAGGGCCATGTTGACCCAGCCCTGTCAGTCAATGGCCCCAGGATAGCTGGCCCTGCCCCTCACTGGACACTGCAGGAGGAGTGCTGGCACTGTCTGCTCCCCCCCCCCGGAACAGCTAAACCCCAGCACTCAGAAGAGATGGCCCCACCCCTCACCGCAGGCATGGGAGAGCTGGCACTGATGGCATGGGCTCCTCAACTGAGTATCCCAATGTCCCAGACCAACCAGCTCAGGTACCACTCAGATCTACATCCTGGGCCTTGGGTTGGCCCACCCTAGTATCTGCCCCATCTATGACCTGCTGGAGTGTGCAAAGGGACTGGCCCTGTAAAACAATAACTGCAGGTTCTCCATGACTCAGGGCAACAATGGAATACCAGATAGGAGTTTCAATGAGGGCCTAGTGATGACAGTGTGCCAGAAACCAGAGACCTTGAACCAGACCAACGACTCATTGCAATGAACATTTTGTGGGTAGGGCTGATTGGACAAGGGGGTATACTGCATGCTCCCAACGCCACCAGGATGAATGAAGAGGTGTTGGGAAGATGGGGGAGTAAGGTGGGTTTTTTGTTTGCTTATTTGTTGGTTGGTTTTGTTTGGTTTTTAATTAATTTTAGAGTTCATACTGCAGGGGAAAGGGGTGGGTATGGAGGGACTTCTAGTGAATGGGATTGGGGTGCATAATGTGAAATTTCCAGAGAATCAATAAAGAATTATATTTTAAATTAAAAAAAAAGATGGACCACACAGATGAACCACAGGGGTGCCTAATGAGATTGTAATTTAAAGTCTTAAAGTAAAGGTACTAGGGAAATTCTTTCAAAATTATTATTTATCTAGAAAGCACTCTTTCTCCATTTCCCCTGCTCCCTACAAGGAGCAAAACAGCAATTCTGTGATGGTGAAAAGAAAATCCAATGATGAAATCATGAGAGAAGCAGAATAGAAAACATTCATAAAGTGAGAGCAGAAGATGTAAAGGATCCTAAGACTTCTCAGGACTGCTGAAGGC